CATGCTTAGTTATATGGGGACAGCAGGATGATTTTGTACAGAGATTCTTGTCCAGATTATGTATGAAATTATTTTAACAGCTTCTTTACAAAAAAATTGTAAATCAAAATGGCCACTGAAACAAGAAGCTTTAAAAAACTGATACAACGTTAGTATTGCAAAAATCAGTAACAATAATAAACTGGAAACATCTTTGCTTTGATTCCCTCAGACCTCAGAAACACTGCTGGATGCTACTCAAAACAGCAGTCTTCTAATGGAAACACAGTCCCCACATGAAATAATACTGATGATTCAGTATATGACACTCTGAATCAATGCTAAGTCTCATGTAACTTGCAAAACACCAACCAAAGTAATTACATTCTGTCTACCTACATTCAATTTCACTTGATACACTATTCAATTGAAGTTTCAACTAATAAAGTATGCTTCGTTTCCTGTGTACAGGGGAGTTGAATGATGCTAAATGCCACATATTACCCAGAGATTGACAGTGTGTTTCTTATTCACTTGTTCATTGATTTCTCTAGTGTTTATCATTGTAGCAGCTCAGTACTTCGGTTAACTATTTTTAAAACACAGAAATATGTTACCCAAAGTAAACAGTGACATAAAATCTAAACCTACCACTTTCTATGACTACTGGCAGTAAACTTGAACAGCTCCCCCCATGAGATATAAAACCGTCTAAGGGTTTACATTTGTAAAGCACTTTCAGATCTTTTGAGATGAATTATATTATTCCTAAATGTAATCTGTTAATTATTTCTAATAATGCATAATAATGAGCAGAACCTTGTTTAATTTAAATAGCAATCACTTACAAACTGATTAATTATTTAAATAACTCAGAGTACATGTATGCAGTGTTGTTGTAACCATGTCAGTCCCAGGATATTAGAGAGACAAGGTGGGTGAGGTAATTTCTTTTATTGGACCAACTTCTGTTGGTGAGAGAGACAAGCTTTGGTGCTTACACAGAGCTCATCTTTAGGTCTTATAAAAGATATTACCTGACCCATATTGTCTCTCCTTAGAGTACAGTAATGAAGCTCAGAAAGTTAATCTTCTTACTTTTAGACTGAAATGTAACAATACTTTCAGTTGTTTTTCTTTTCACTCCTGTCCCAAGCATAAGCAATGATAACATGGTAGTTATGGTACCAAGTATGACCACAGTTTCAATGTATATACCTCACATCCATAACACAAAAGTAATCAGCAATCTAGCTTCAGACAAAAAGTGATATATGGACAGATTACTTTTCAGGTTTTTTCAATTTTGTACTCTTTAGTAATAGACCAGACTTCTTCTAGACGTAACTGAAAACTGTGGTAACAATACTTAAATAAGATGCACATAGGATCTGTTTCTATAGTTAGAGCTATAATATATATTAGCAATAACAAGAAGGTCTGTAGGATGCAGGACCTGATCCTGTAAGTTCTGTGCATGCCAAACTCCCACAGAACATAATCAAGGCTCAAACCTCTGATGTTCTGAGCACCTGCCTCTGGCAGTGAGTGCAATGGGAGTTACAGGTGCACAGTACCACCCCAGAAACATTCGGCACCTTACAGGCCTAAACGACATTTGGGAACCTGAGAATGTGATGGACTACCGTGAAGTTTGCCTAGGTGAGAAACAGTTCAAGAGGCCAGAAAGGTGCCCTACTGACTTACAGAATGAATCCTATTGGGAGCCATTGAATAGGTAAGCATGAGAGGCAGCAATACAAGCTTACCTCCACTGCCCTATTACTGTGCCTTATTACCTATTGGAGGAATGATGGGGAAGGCTGAGAGAATGCTTCAGTCTCTTTGCCAATTCACTCCATAATTACTTTATTTAGTCTACCAATAAGGGCACCAATTGTGAAGTCTGTGATATCACAGCTGTTGTGGAGATCATGTTGACAAATGTAATTTTATTACATAAGCCACGGAAGCCTATGAACTCCTAGGAAAGAAAAGTATCTTGTTTTCATATATGATGTATTGCTTTCCAGAAGAAGAAGAAAAACCCACAGAAAATATATCATCTGATTTTTTTCATCAATTTATAAAAGGAATGTTCTTCATTGTTTCCATGAGTCATCAGCTGACCTTTAAAGCTGCCAGAGAAATCTGACAGTTTTGTCAGGCAAGTTGGATTTTTTTGTTTTATTGTCCTTTCATTTTATGTAATTTCAAGGCTACTGCTGAACAATATTTATATGTGTGGAACCATCTAAGATCAACCCTCTCCTGCCAAAAAAATTTCAGACAATTTAATCTATGCAGGATTATCACTTCTTGTGGCAAGAGAACCAAAAGAAATTGAAAACTGCTGCTTGAAAATTATTAAGAATGAGCAACCTTACCAGTCCTTTCTGTTAACCCCCAATTCTTCCATCCCTCCTGTGAGGGGCTGTCATCCCTGGGGTGGTCTGGCAGCTGTGGGAACCGCTGGGCCTCCTCTAACCACTCAGTTGGGTTGGCCCTGCTCACACCGCTTGGGGACCCAGGCCCTGTTATCATCCAACACGACAGCAGATGGTGCCACACATCCAAAGTGAGCTACCTGCGAGAGCAGCTGCACCCAAGCCACTCAAATACATGCAGCAGACAGCTGACAATTTCCTAGCTTTCCAGACTCCCACCCCCCCACTAGAGTATAAACCCAAAATTATACCATCTTGCGCTGCACAGGGAACTGTACAGCGCAGGCTCGTAAAATTCGCCCCCTCCCTCAATGTGGAGAGGAATATGCACCGGCTTTTGCCCATACACTTCACTGGTTTCAATAAAGCAAAAACAAGCTCATTAACTACAAAAGATAGATTTTAAGTGACTATAAGTGATAGAAAACCGATCAAAGCAGATTACCTAGCAAATAAACAAAAAAAGCAAACCAAGCTTAATATACTAAATAGATTGGATATGAATTGGCAGATTCTCACTCTAAGAGATGATACAAGCAGGCTACAGATTCTTAAGGGCAAGCTGCACTTGTTTATAGTTTGGAATCCCCAGGTGTTCCATTCATAGGCTAAAATCCCTTTAGCCTGGGTCCAACACTTGCCCCAGTTTAGTCTTTGTTCCTCAGGTGTTTCCAGGAGTCTTCTTGGGTGGGGCGTGAAGAACACCAGATGATGTCACTCCCTGCCTTATATAGCTTTTGCATATGGCAGAAACCCTTTGTTTCAAAGCTTGGTTCCCAGACCAGTCTGTAGAAAAATACTGACATCTCAAGATGGAGTCCAGCATCATGTGGTCTGATTACATGTCTTTGTAGAGTCATAGCAGCCATTACGGGGCAGCTGTCTGTAGTGTTCTCAGGTGGGAGATAAATTTCTCAGAAGGCCTACTGTTTTTTTCCTAATGGCCCATTGCCCAGAATAGGCCCTTCTCCACCCGCTATTTAGACTGAAAGCATCTCGTCTAGTGAGCGTTACTCAGGTGTAACTATATTTGAAATACAGCTACATAATCAATATTCATAACTTCTGATACAAAATGATACATGCACACAAATAGGATAATCATATTCAGCAAATCATAACTTTTCCAGTGACACCTCACATGACTTACCTTGCATAAAATGCATTACAATTATGTCATAATCATATCATAATAATATTATTGTGAAGAATATGGGGTTCAGTGTCACAGCTCCCTCTCCTCCCAAGCCAGTTATCCAGCTTCTAAACCTGTTCTTTCATTTGGTTTTGTGGGTTCCAATCCTACCAGTACATAATCTTTTTCTCTAACTTCATGATACTGTCTCCTATTCAAGGAGTCTCTCTTCCTTTGATAGTCTATTCTACCATTTCTAGCACAGAAAACATTTTACTATCACAGAGTTTTGGAGAAAACAGCATTTACAGTAGCTTTGCTCCAGAACTTCTCTATCTTTCTGGAAGTATACTCAAGATTTTCTTTGTCAACATTTTATAAGCTTTGGGTCCCCTTGTTTGTTTTTTCTTCAAAATTATAAAATAACTGACCAGTTCACGTGAGTACCATTGGTCCCCCTGTTTTTGAAGAAATGTCAATGGCTCATGTTCTCAAAGTTTAAAAAAAAAAATCTCCACCAGGTAGAGCACTTATTCATGGGGATCTCATCTTCTAGGCTCAAACTCAGTAAAGCATTTCAGCTTGCTTAAGTGCTTTGCTGAATCAAGGCCCTATTGCATAATTTCTCTGTTTTCAAAACATAGTAGTGACAAGTTTGTTATCAAGTACAAAAATTAACTCAAGATCCCTTCTTTTTTTAAAACAATGCTTTATCAGAAATTTTGTGGCACACATGATACAATATTGTATTTTATCCAGTACAAATACTGTAAGAGACAATTTGTTCAAAGAAAGATAAGCAGAAAGATTAAAATTCAACGAGTTATGGGCACTTTATTTATTTAATTTCACTGGTTACCTTGAAAGTTGTAAACAAGTGGAGCCAAATTCTGCTCTGTTTACCACTGCAAATCTGAGTAACACCACTGCCTTCAGTGGAATTACTCCAGTTTTACCACTGTAATTGAGCGCAAAATTTGCACATTATAAGCAAATGCATTTCAATATTTTATATATATATATATTTTGTACCTAATATAATCCTCTACTATAGTGAAAGGGTAATCCCTATAAAGAAATAGTGGCTGATTCTGCAAACTCTTACTCCTTTAATTCTTACTCACAGAAGCAAGCCAGTGAAAACAATGCTCTACTCATATGAGTAATGGTTAGCGCATGGTATTCCAAGCCTTTTCAATCTTAAAACATATTTTGGGGAAGGTTTTAATTAATTTGGATTTAGGTTGCTGCATCCTGATTTGAAAATGAAAGATTCAAAGAGAATTTTAACTAAATCAGTTTTCCTTGTGAAAAATAATGAGTCTGAAGTTCTCAACTTTACATGAAACAAAGCCCAATAGAAGATTACAAGTCAGCTTAAACTTTGTTCAGGGGTTAATTAAACTGCATGGTTAAAAAAATCACTCTGAACTTTGTTCATGTCAAACTACTGCTTTATTTATTTTTTTATTTGCTTTAGCTAAATGAGCAAAGATGCCAGTAACTCTTCCAGAAGAAAAGCAAATATTTAGAATAAGGGATATATTCACTGATGTACTATGTCTGCATTTAGAACAATTTAAAAATTGTACATGATGTGTCTTATTTGGCAACAAAGTCAGAGAGAAATTAGAACGCAGAAGTTCCTGATTCTGCTAGTCTTGGGCTCAAAACACAAGAAACTAGACTAAACCTTTCGTTGGATTTGAGATGAAATCCTGCCTCCATTGACGTCACCAGGGGTTTTGCTACTGACTTCAAAGGGGCCAGAATTTCACCCTTGGTCTCTTGGTTTGAGCCCCCAGGCACTTCCATGCTCTAATCTTGACAGATACTGAATCCTTTTGTGGCCTTTAGCAAGTCATCTAATTTATCTGCCTCAGTTTCCCCATCTGTAAAACAGAACTAAAAATACATATCTCTTAGGGGTGTTTTGAGGGACTAGTTCTGAAAGTTGTCAAGTGCACTCAACTCCTACTGGGAGTACATTCAACGCCTAGTATGATCAGACACTAATTTCTTATTTAGTTTGTTTAATTTATGGTTTATAAAGCATGTTTCAGTATTTTAAAAGTGTCTATGTAAGAAACAACAGTTGACAGGGCTTTAGACTAGCTGGCAAAGACTTTGTCCACCTATGTAATTATGGAACAAACAAAAGCACAGGCTGAAACTATCATCAACCTCATCTGAGAATTAGTATATCTGTACATCCTCTTCCTACCTACACACCCCGAGCAGTTCAGTTTGACCAATAAAATGTTAACCTGTAATCTGTTATTTTCAATGAAAGAGGTGCCTATATTTCAAGTTTTATTTTATATTTGTTAATATTAGGGTTTTTCCTTTTTATTTGTGAATATTTGTTACCTGCATGTGAACAAACAATTTCACAATAGAAAATAAGAAAGGAAATTAGTGTTAATCTAAATAATTATAGGAACATATGATTCACCATACCTGATCATACCACTGGCCTGCCAAATTTGGTATTCCTCATTCAAAAGTAACCAATAACTGATGTTTCAGAGAAAAGCAAAATAAAAAAAACTACATTGCATGTAGCCAATTGTGCATTACTTATGTAATCCCTCCTAATCCTGTGCTAAAATCATTTTTCTAAAAAAATACTATAAAGATCATAATTCATTTTCCTTAAAATATAGATTAATAATTTCAATGATTGGAGTAATGTCTGTTGAGATGCCCCATTCTCCTGGAAGCTTGAATTTCTCTCACTACAAGGGCATGTGCCTGTTGTGTGTTATTTTGTACATGTGTGAGATGTACAAATGGGAGAGAGATTATGTAAATGAAAGAACATCTGTGTGCTCAATTAAATAGGATTTACAGTTCAAAAAATTTTTTTAAATGATGTAATTATATAAAACTTTGAAGGGACACTAGTAAAAATCAGTTCTTCAAATTAAAAGCCATTTCTGGACAACAGTGAAGCAATATGTTGACCTAGTCCTTTTTTTCTTTCTTTTTTTAAATGAAGTTTCTTCTTGTCATTAAACTTTTTGATGCATTGAATCAGAATATTTTTAATTAATTTTAATTAAGTAGAGCTACAACTTGAACTGCTTAAAAAGCAACAGCCAGACAAATACAACAGCTAAGAAAAGATTTCTGCTGCTCTACAAAAGACATCATCATATTTTCTTTTCAGGAAGTAAAGGTAAGATGTGATCCCTTCAAAAATATCTGTGATATTTAAATGACAGGATAGTGTGTGAAGAGATTAATATTGAAGAGATAGAAAATAACTTTAGACCTTTGTTTTGGCAACTGAGTAGTAAAGGAAGATTACTGGAAGAATTGAGTTCTTCATGCCAAAAATGTGGTGCTTTTATGGCATACAAATACAATCAAATTTATCCAAACTAAAACCCCTTCATGAATAAAAATGCACAGAAGGGGAGCTCTGATTTTGAAAGTAGAAGCTGGGCAACCTCAATTCCACTGTATCATTCTTAGCTGAAGGAAAAACTAAAAGGCCAGAGGGTCTGTTCCCCTCCTTGATTTTTCTAGCAGTCAAGATCCATTAGAAAGAACATTGCATAATTGTGAGTCGATCTTGGCCATTCCAGGGCTCCCATACTACTGCATGGATATTGGCTAGTTTTGTGCCATCCACATGCTCCTACCTAACCCCTCTACAGTATGTTAATTATGCAAAAGGGAACTTGTTGCAATTACATGTGTTGCATCACAACTTACACTGCTCTGAGGTGAGAGCATGCTGCTTCCTAACTTCATATCCCCTGGCTTTCCACCACCCAATTAAGCTGCTAAAGCTCAACTACAGTGGGCGCATAGGGGCTAACAATGATGAGAGCAAAGTATGTGTTGGTTGGGGGATGTAACTGAATAGCTACCTCTCTTATCTGCCCAACAATCTGGCTGTCCTATGAACCATGCAGCAAAGGCAGGTTTATAGTTTATAGTTTAAAGCTTGATTACATACAAGCTTTATATTGGGGGTGATATGGCTGGCCTCTTATCAACCTATGTGAAATTGTACAGTTAACTGTCATTAACAGTAGGAGGAATTACATATGTTTGTTCCTGGACAGGGAAACAGACACCTATTAGCTGTATTAAAAATATTGCTTATTAAAAATACTTCTGTGTCTAGAGTGCACGAAATTAAAATTTAGGTTGGATCCTTTTCTGTATTTTGTTTCACTGCCGGTACAGTGGGTGAAATCCTAGCTCTACTGAAGGCAATTGCTAACCTCCTCTTGACTTCAATGGGGCCATGATTTCACTCCATATGTACATTTAGAGAGAGAGATGGTTATAGGAATATTTGCTCAAATCACCCACAATCCCCTCAGGACTCAGTGTTGAAAATGAACATCAGCATAAGAGCCAGCTGAGTTCTGTCCGGCTGTCTCTCAAAGAGGCACTGTTCAGTGAAGAAGCTGTAAGTGGCTTTGCGAGTGTCCATCTTGCCTCACTGCCACATCTTTGAGGCAGACACAGGGAACAAAATGGTGCTGATGAGAATGGATCAACCCCTCGAGACGTGTGATGATTTCATAGTCAGGGAGCGCAAGGCTGGTAACACTAAGGCCCAACATATGCGAGACCACCTCACGGAACTCTGCCAGCTGCAAGAGCAAACAAACAAATCAATCATTCAGACAAGGGGAAGGCTGGAAAAACATTTACATACACACACACACACACACACACAGACAAGTAGTACTTGTATCAGGGATTCAAAAATTATGTAATTGTTCCTTACAACTTGAAAGGTTTGTCATTGTTCTTCCGCATGATTAGAGATTTTGGTGGACTAAACGGCTGGGGTGACTGGAGACTGGACATAGCATCTTCACCTCTAGGTTTAATAGCAGAAAAAAGTCATCATACAAAGTCTGTTGGGCAGCCTGTGTTTAAAGGCAGGGGTTTTTTGGTCCAATTCCAAGTGGATAGGTGTGCACATGAAAAGTCACCATCAATACTGTTGGCAGTCAAAACAGGAAAATTAGGACAACAGCAGCTATGACACTGCATGCACACAGGTGACACATCTAAGGAGTAAAAATGGCCCAGGTCTACGTAGTCACTTTTCAGATTAGAACCACACTTTAATAAAAGCTATGAGGCAACATACAGACATCTTCTCTCCCTGATTAGATTTTCTAACCAAGCTAGTTTAGCACTAAGGGGAAGGAGAAGCATTAGCAGATGTGCCTAAACTTGCAGCTTCTAACTTCCCCATATTGCCGGTGGCAGGCTGCAGCCCTCAACCAGCCTCTCCCAGCTAGTTCCTTTTAAATTACCTTCATCCAGCTCCAGCCGCTGGCATCAAAAGTATTTCAAAGAAAGTAGAACTCAAAACAACATCTTGATGATATTGTCCTTTCCACCCAGGCATCTCTGCTTTTACATTCTTCAAATCATCCTCCACCACCTGCAGGACAGGTCAACCCACCTGTCCTGTCCTTTCTCTCCTGTGTCAGAAGAGGCCAGCAGGTAAACAATCCTTCTCCTGCTAAGATCTCTGCATTATGATGGAAGACCCAGAGTATATACTGCCCTCCTTCCCAGAACTTGTCCTGATTGGAGAGGAGAGGATTCTAGTTCCACTCTACACTACTAAGTCATGGTCCCAGACCCTTAAGGAAATAATAATCTGTGTTTTTCCCCAGACACCAAAGTTTACCCTGAGACCACTTCCTTTCCCCAAGCATCTGCCTCTGCCATTTCCTAGGCCCTCATCTGCTCCAGAACTTCTGGAACCTTAAAGGGGCATGTCAAGGGTCAGGGCTTGGCTGGCCTCAATCCTCACTATTTCTTAAAGGGGACAGAACACCCTGTTACGTCACCCATATCTATCTTTGAATAGTGAGCTAGATGGTTTTGCTGTTGGGATACTAGATGAATTTCTGTCATCATGGGCAAATGAGATAACCCCCCACAACACAACACAATTAAAAGAGAGTAAGAGAGAGAAAGCCTTCTCCTCCACAATTCCTAAATGGTTTATTTATTTATTTATATTGCCAGCAGTACATAGAGGTCCCAACCAAGATCAAGGCCCCATTGTGCTAGAAAGAGTACAAACACAGAGTAAGCTATACTCAGGCCCTGGAGAGCTAACAATCTAAACCCCCTTAACTCACTGACAATTAAGTTGTAAAATAGAGTAGAAACAAAAACAAATACACTCCCAAAATACCCTGGTTACCAATCCCCCGAATGGAATCCAGAACATTAAGGTTATTATAGCATACCTAAACCAAATTCAAATTAAGAAAAAACAAATGCAAAGGCCAGATCCTGAAGACTTTAGTCAGGCAAAGTCTCACTGCAGTCAGCAACAGCTTGCATGACTACAGACCGAGTGAAAACCGAGTACAGACCTTCAGGATTTACAGCTAAGTTCAGAAAAATAAATAAATCAAATCATCATAAAGTACTGAGGGATCTTAAGGATTCAGCCTGGTAATATCTGCCCTAAATTAGGTCCAAAAGCTGTGAAAGAAAGGTTATAACAATAGACTAAACAATGCAGCACTGGAGGGGCCTCGTATTTCAAAGTGCTCTTCCCAGTGACTTCAGAGCCAAGCCTGGAGGCTATAACTCAGAAGTTGCGGTGGAATGCTGGAGCAGCATGGTGGAGAATTAGCTGGATTTTTTTAAAGGGCTCACTCAAGGTTGGATCCAACAGGCCGCTAAGCTGGCATTTGTCAACCAGGACCTCAAACATGTTTAAAAAAAAAAAAAAATCTGGAGCGCCCATGTAGTCCTCTAGCTCTTGGATCCACGAGCCAGTTGGCCAGGGAGCATCAAAGCAAGAGTAGCTCCTCATGTTACTTCTTTCCTTCCCCCACTAACATCCTCAAAGTTCCTGATCAGATTAATTCCTTCCTGTAGAATAAAACTAGAAGAGGCTCCTCTTGCATCCAACTTTGAGGATTCACTCAAGAGCCACATGGGAAACTCTCTTCTCCCATGGGATAAATATGATGCCTCAAAAGCACTTCCAGTCCAAGATGACCAATATTGACCAAGACTGAGCTTGGTGCATGTTTGTTGTTCTCTGTATCGTAGCTGAAATCTGTTTTTCATCCTTTCCTTGAGTTGAAATAACAGCCTTTATTTTTCAAATCTTGCCTTCATTTTTTGGGAGGCAATTCCACTGTAATAAGCCAGTTAAGGAACATGTGAGTATGCATGGTTTAGCATTGCTAAATGCCAGAATGAAGGGAAGCCACAAACTCTCAAGGTATGTCTACGCTGCCATGCAAGCCACAGAATTGCTGACATGGGCCAGCGTAAGTGTTTTATTATAGCATAAACATACCCTCAGACTAATACACTGCTTGATTTCAGCCAGTGGAAGATGCATATAAAAGGATATATGGAAATCTCATTATTTCCTTTCTTGTCATGGAGGAAAGTTACTGGCATAAATGGCTACATTTGAGGAACTGTAAACATTTTAGGAATTTGGAGTCTCACATACTTCATATCTACTCCACCCTTCTGTACACAGTATATCCATCATTTTCTTGGCCATCCTCTTATTCTTCCCCTGCAAACTTCATACATGCTTATATCGTCTCAGCCTCCGCCTTACAGCTTCTCTGATATCACACACTTTGGTCTCACTCCTGATGACATCATTCCACATGTGTTCCCAAAAGGTCACCCCCTCACTGCCCTCAAATATATCATTACAATGGCTTTAAGTCTTCTCAAGTGCCTCTCTTTGGTCACCCATGTCTGTGATCCATACAGAAAAGTTAGACTTACCATGTTTTGTCTAGTTGTCTCTTAAATAACCTGGGTAACTGTTTATCATAAATTACTCCCACTTATCTTGCTCTAGACATCTCCTGCACTCAGCAGACTTGCTTGCAGTTCTCTATAAATTTCTCCATTACTGCTAACAGGGGGAAGGATAGCTCAGTGGTTTGAGCATTGGCCTGCTAAACCCAGGGTTGTAAGTTCAATCCTTGAGGGGGCAATTTAGGGATCTGGGGCAAAAATCAGTACTTGGTCCTGCTAGTGAAGGCAGGGGGCTGGACTTGACGACCTTTCGGGGTCCCTTCCCATTCTATGAGATAGGTATATCTCCATATATATTATTTTTGTATTAACAAATCATGAAGGTACTTAACCAGAAACCTAATTTAGGCACTGGCCCTCAATGTTAATATTTATCTGTCTTGGTTCTGTGCAAGTCAACTACATGACTTCAGTCTTTGTTTTTACTCATTTTGAGGCCATACTTATCATGGAACCATCATACAAACCCATCACCATCTGGACAAGATCCTCTGTTATCCCACAGAATCATAGCAGAAGTCACCTAGATATGTTGAATGCTTTTTCCAAATCGAGGAAAGCCAAAGCGTACTCGATGTTTCCCTCCAACTTCTTTTCCACCATTTGTTTAGCAATGCACATACCATCTGTTGTTCCTTTTCTAAAACCAAAATTACGCCTTTCTTAAAACAGGTTCCACTATTTGGCAAACACGGCTATCTATGATTCTCTCCGTTTCATGCAGTGGGACAACTTAATTCCTTGGTACTTTGAACAGTCATGTATCTCACCTTTTGTTTGTATATCAGTACCAGTATGGACGTTCTCCATTCTCTTGGCATTTTCTTCTCTTTCTAAACTGAGCGCAGGACTCATCTGAGCCAGCATACACCAATCTCTCTCAAGTCTTTGATCATCTCTGCCATGACTTTGTCTAAACCTGTTGCTTTTGTGGATGCCATCTTCAGCAGTGCAGCTTTGACGTTTGCCTCTAACAAGTCAATAGATATTCAGTGTAACTGTAGCTGTGTCAGTCACAGGATATTAGACAGACAAAGTGGATGAGGTAATATCTTTGCCTGGACCAACTTCAAAAGCTTTTCTCTCTCACCTACAGAAGTTGGTCCAATCAAAGATATTACCTCACCCATCTTGTCTCAGGTCAATAGATAAACACTTTAAGAAAATCAACTTTCCTGCTAATGAATTGTAGCAAGAAAACAGGAAAATCTGTTTGTTCAAGAAAGAGGTGAAAAGAGAGCTGACTGCCCTGCAGAGCAAAATATATTATAACAAGCTGACCAAAGAGCAACATTGCTCCCCTTGCAAAAGTGCGGAACAAGAGACATTGATTTTTATTCAGACTATTTTAACAAAGTGACAGGTCAAACAAAAGCAACATAAGAAGCAGTGCAAATATATACTGAAATATTTCCTTAATGCTACAGTATGTCTTGCCTGGAGCAGAACTACGCATTTGTGCTCCTAATTTGATGCACTGCTGTATGTGTTTCATGAATATTTATTAAAATTTGCTACTAAAATATTTAGTGACTAGAAAAAAAAACAATGAAAATTCTGCTTCAACTTTGCAAACAATCATCATCATCATGACAAATCTCCAAGGGACATGGCTTTGTGGCAAATCAAGCACCACCTGGGTTTATCTCTGGCAAGGAGTTTGAGTGGTCTGGCTGTATATTCAGAATATGTCCATCACTGGCAATCCTGTTGTGTCACCAAAGCTTTTGGTGGCCACATGATCTCTGGCCATGTAGCCACAGTCCTTGGTACACACTTCAGAATTCATTGGTTTTCCATTCTTATA